CAAATGTGTGAATGAAACAAAACAGAACTCCAGATACCCAGGTTTGTGAAGTGGAAACGACATTTAAACACAGACGCCCAAAAATTTCTCCTTTGAATAAATTGTCCGTACATTTGAATGGAGTTTTCCGTGTTGATGACATAGGCAGAGGGATTCTGTTTTAGAACTCAGCGCTACTTCCTGTATTTCTGTACTTTTCCTTTTCGACTTTTTTCCACACTTACTGATGTAAAACTATGATAAATATTGACCACAGGTACTCTCCCACCGAACCAAACCAAGTCATAATGAGAAAAACATGAAAAGTCGTTATATTTAAGAAAGTTTCCTCTTGTCTCTGGGCAGTACAGTGCAGTAAACCACAGTGTGTTGACAGATGGCTTTGGCCTGGTTTCTCTCTGGGTCATTATGTAACGTGCCCCCAGCCTCCTCTGCTCTAGCCAGGCCTTTTACATAACCCAACTATGTGGAGCGCTCTCTGTCAACACGCTGCACTGTACGCCCCATTATAACCAACGCAAACCTGAAGATCGGACACTTACAAGTACTGAAAATCACAAACTAATCAATACTAAAACTAGTATCGAAACTGGATACGCAATTGAGCAAGTATCGATACTAAAAAAGTGCCATTCACAGGACAGAAATGAACCTTAGTCCAATCAGGTTCATTTGGTCTTCAGATAATTTATATTTAATTTATTACCATATTTTTTGGACTATAAGTTGCTCCGGAGAATAAGTTGCACCAGCCAAAAAATGCAAAATGAAGAAAAAAAATATAAGTCGCACTTTTTGGGGGAGATTTTTTATAAAATCAGAGACCAGGAACCAACATTTCAGCTTCAAAGTCAAGTTCTAGTAATATCAATAGAAGAGAGAACAACAGACTGTTAACGTCACATATGAACAGTTCTTCAGATAAACTATAACATAAACAACAGAACAGAACAAGTTTACCAAACTCTCCATCTCACTCCAAATCACTAAATCCATTAAATTCTTCATCCTTAGTGTCACTTCTGAACAACTTGGCTTCTGTGTCTCTGTCGTCAGACTCAGCATCATTATTCCGGCCTTTCTGAATCTCGACAGGATATTTTTGGTGTCATTGAAGTCACTTAAATGTTAAATTGTTCAGTGGTGCAGAAGCAATGGTGCGATTGACTGACATGATACAGACAGAACAGAGGCTCTTTCTGCAGGAGACATGTGCAGTAGAGTGAAGTGACAGTGGTACAGGAGGAACAGGAGCAGCAGATACTCACGCACAAGACTAGAACCGCTTGCAGCTGTCAGTGTGAACATTTTAATATGTAAATCGCACCTGAGTATAAGTCAATCGAAACACCCAAACTATGAAAAAAGTGCGACTTGTTGGCCGAAAAATACGGTACAATCTTTTTTCAGACCAAGAGTTTCCCAGGCGTGTGAGAGTAAACCTGGGATGAGGGGCTTTTTTACTCTCACATACTTGGGATACTGTCCTGAGGAAGTGGGACTGCAGGTGGCGCTGTCTTCCTGCCTCCACCGGTAAGAAGGCAGTGCCAAAACCCATTTAAATCATCTGAGTGACATGTCACAGCAACATCACGAGACTCTGAGGAAGAGAACAGGGAGCAGAACAAACTGTCAGTATTAAGACAAACTCTTAGTGTGAAAAAAGAAAATTAACCTTTCCTGAATAGCTAGCACTCATAGACCACTACAGAACCTACCTGGACCACTGAGGGATTACACAGATATAAGGCCACAAAAGAAAGTATTACCATTTAAAAGTTGTATAGAAGATTTTCAAAGGAAAGAGAAATGCAGCGACTGTTTGTCCTTTTTTAAATGTTGCGCTTCGCTCCTTTTCCCCCTCTCTTCTTCGTTCAGCGATGTCAAAAACGGACTTTCTTTTGCGGCAAACTGGTCGGGAATTCTTGTCTGCCATTAAAACAAAATTTGTGCAAACTGAGAGGAAGCTATTGTTCAAAAAAGATGCCAAGAACCGCTAAACATTAACCGCTAACATAAACCACGCAATCCCAGCGCGTCGGCAAGTCAGCTACACTAGAAACATAGGAGGTTTGATTGACAACCTGACAGCCAATAGATAAAGAGGTAGCCTTGTTATCTATTGACTGATGCTTATCTGCCCCCACCACGGCCACAGTTGATGGATTTTCATTCTTTTTTTTCTTTTTTTTGGTCATCATAATTACAAGGCTGCTGCATCTCTGTAATTCTATTTCGAACTTTCATTGACAATTTGAAACAAAAACAAAAAAATCCTCCGTACAACCTTTAATGTTGAGGAGAGAATTCAGTTTGTCGACTGGAAAAAAGTTAGTTTGGTTGAAGACGTTTCGCAGCTCATCCAAGCTGCTTCTTCAGTTTTGGTCAGATGCTGGTGGACACTTCCTTATATCTGTCTGCAGGGATTGGGAAGTGTCCGCCAACATTCTGACCAGAACTGAAGAAGCAGCTTGGATGAGCTGCAAAACGCCTTCCACCAAACAAACTTTTTTCCAGTCGACAAACTGAATTTTCTCCTCGACATGGATTCTACCTGGATGACTGAGGGATTCTTCACACCATTTAATGTTGGAAATCAAATTCTATTGTAAAGAGTGTTTTTATTATCATTGTGGTACAGTATTGAGTCTGTTCCTTAGTATCAAATTCGAGTTTGAAATTTTAGTTTTGCAAAGATTGATTCATGCATGTTTGAGTAATTCTTTATTGTCCTGCATTCAGGCTTGAGAAAATGTCTGTTTTCACCTACCCCCTATCCCCGCCTACAGCTCTGCGCATACTTCCAATTATTCAGTATTTTTAGTCTAGTTCGTATGTGTAGGATTCAACTCTACCAAGTGCCATTTTTAAACAACATAGAGAAGTAAATAAAAAATATGCTGTTTGATATGGTGAAACATCACTTTGAAGGCCTTTAGTTCTACAGATTTGAACAGGAAATGATGCTTCTTTCTATTCCTAAGCCATTATAGAACAGTATTGCAGTTTACAGTCAACACAATGTAAAAGAATGATCTGTTTATTTTATAGTTTTATTCTAAATGCCCTCGAAAAGCATCATATTCTTTAAGGGTTTCAAACATTTTACTAAGTTGGCTTCAATCTTCATTTTGCCAAGTAACATTTTATCATAATTATTGCTTCTATAATCATTTGGGGGGGACATGCAGGATCATCTGAACTGGATTTCCATGAGGTCAGAGGTCACAACAGGTGCAGCAAGTTCAGACTCTGGGTCATGTGACTGACACAGTGTGACACAGCAAATACAAATAAATTAAGCAAACACAACAACAACAACAACAACATACTTTTAATTAAAAAAAAAAACTTTATAAATGCAGAATTTCATGCAGAAATCAGAATGCACAATTTCAGAATTTAATTGGTGTGATTTGGTGTATTTATGTTATACACTTATTACCTCCGCCAAGGAGGTTATGTTTTTGCCGGCGTTTGTCTGTTTGTTTGTTTGTTTGTTTGTTTGTTTTTTTGATGAAATTTTCAGGATTTGTTGGAAATGTGAAAAGGAAGAACCGATTTCATTTTGGGGTGATTTGGAAGAAATCCTGGATTCTGGATCACTTTGAAATTTTAGTTAACATTGTGGTAAATGGGGCCAAAAATTTTGTTTCTCAATATCTCGGTTAATTATTGACCAAACCCCATGAAATTTGACTCAGGGATGGACAATGGGATCCTCTTTCATATTCCAAAGGCTGATCCGGATCTGATCCAGAAGACTGATTTTATCACAATTTATATAAAAAATGGGGGTAGTCCTTGGCGGAGGTCTGCGCTCTCTGAGTGCTTTTCTAGTTCTAAATGTGTATATATATTTTGTTGTGGTGGGCTGTATGGATAATCAACAAGCAAACAGTAATACATAAGAAAATCTAGATATCAGGTCTAAAAGTAAAGAAGTAATAGCAGTAGTAGTAGTAATAGTAGTAGTAGTAGTAGTAGTAGTAGTAGTAATTGTACTTGCAGTATTTGTTGTAGTAGGTAGTAAGAGTAGCAGTAGCAGTAGCAGTAGTAGTTGGAGTAGTATTTGTAGCAGCAGTAGCTGTAGCAGTAGTAGTAGTTGTAGAAGTAGTTGTTGTAGATGTAGTAGTTGTTGTAGTAATAGTAGTTGTAGCTGTAGTAGCAGTAGTAGTAGCAGTAGTAGTAGTTGTAGTAATAGTTGTTGATGTAGTTGTAGTAGTAGGTGTTGTAGTTGTAGTAATAGTAGTTGTAGTTGTAGTAGCAGTAGTAGTTGCAGTTGTAGTTGTTGTAGTAGTTGTAGTAATAGTAGTAGTTATAGTTGTACTTATACTTGTAATAGCAGTAGTAATTGCAGTTGTAGTTGTAATAGTAGTTGGAGTAGTACTTTTTAGTATTTTTTTATTACTGCTAAGGTTTTATTTTATTTATTAGATATTCATGACTTTAAAATAAATAAGTAAATAAAAATAATAATCACTTGTGCACTTGTAAAAATATAGAATGCTTTAAAATCCAGACTGGGTTGTATATAATTAATGAATATACTTTATAACAAATAGTGTTTTTAGTTGCACAAATGTTTTTGGTTTTTTTGTTGTTGTTGTTTTTTATCTTTTTTTCCTCGTGTGGATTTAACTCTTGGGTAAGTGGAAGTTGCAGTTGGACCATAACTCTGTCGATTAAATATACAAAATCAGTTGAAGTGTGCCAGGTTCTCGCACTATCAGTATGTTGTATTTAATACAAAGCTGCACAAGTCTCCATTATAACACCAGATTTTGATTGTTTTTGCTGGTGGTCACTGCACACCCTGTCATCTGTCTCTGCTGCGTTTGGCTTTAAGCACAGTCCAGTCTCTTGCTTGGCGTCTGTGAAGCTGCACAAATCACCTGTGATCACTAATTTGATTCACTGTTATTAACCTTTGCATTGCATGTGTTAACTGTGCTTTCTGTGTCCACCGCTGGCTGTGCTCGTCCTCACTGAACACACAGCTGGACCAAAACCAACCCGAGAAGCTGCTAAATGACCAAAAACGGGTACGTATGCCAACACAGTCTGAATGTAAACACTGATCCACAGCCGCACTGCCTCATGTCACTGTCTGGAACCATGAAAAAGACTTAACAAAGGAGTTTGGGTGAAATGTTGAATCTTTGAAATATTTTGGACAGCGTTTTGAACAAATCATAGACACAACCTGCTGACTGCCACGTTCCAAATAGGAAGTGAGCATGGACGTGTGTCAAGCTCCATCAACTCTGACTGCAATTCACTTTCTATTACAAACCATAGTCAATCCATGTCTTCATTCTTTCATTAAATTTTCATAATAAAACGAAAAAACAACTATTTTCTTTATTATTAATCTCCAAAACCAAAATAAAAAAATAAAAATAATGGGTAAGGATTTGTTTTTTTCAGTTTTTGATTTTGTGTTTAAATGAATAATGGAAAAAAAGGATAAGAGCCTTTTTCCCGTTTCTGTGCCTTTTGTGCCGCATACGGACTAAACTAGGACTACACCAAAACTGAACCAGGACTGAGTGTCAGGACACCTTGCTCCATGGGCTCGGGGTTCCATCTCTCTCTCTCAAGTCCAAGATTAGTCCAAGATTAGACCTGGTTTAGTCCTGGTGTAGTTCTGGTTTAGTCCTGTTTTAGTCCTGGTTTAGACCTGCTTTAGTCCTGGTTTAGTCCTGGTTTAGACCTGGTTTAGACCTGATTTAGTCCTTGTTTAGTTCTGGTTTAGTCCTGGTTTAGACCTGGTTTAGTTCTGGTTTAGTCCTAGTTTAGTTCTGGTTTAGTCCTGGTTTAGTCCTTGTTTAGTCCTGGTTTAGTGCTGGTTTAGACCTGGTTTAGACCTGATTTAGTCCTTGTTTAGTCCTGGTTTAGTCCTGGTTTAAACCTGGTTTAAACCTGGTTTAGACCTGGTTTTAGTTCTGGTTTAGTTCTGTTTTAGTCCTAGTTTAGTTCTGGTTCAGTCCTGGTTTAGTCCTGGTTTAGACCTGGTTTTAGACCTGGTTCAGTCCTGGTTCAGTCCTGGTTTAGTCCTGGTTTAGTGCTGGTTTAGTCCTGGTGTAGTCCTGGTGTAGTTCTGGTTTAGTCCTGTTTTAGTCCTGGGTTAGACCTGCTTTAGTCCTGGTTTAGTCCTTGTTTAGTCCTGGTTTAGTGCTGGTTTAGTCCTGGTGTAGTTCTGGTTTAGTCCTGTTTTAGTCCTGGGTTAGACCTGCTTTAGTTCTGGTGTAGTCCTGGTTTAGTCCTTGTTTAGTCCTGGTTTAGTGCTGGTTTAGACCTGGTTCAGTCCTGGTTCAGTCCTAGTTTAGACCTGGTTTAGATCTGGTTTAGACCTGGTTCAGTCCTGGTTCAGTCCTAGTTTAGACCTGGTTTAGACCTGGTTTAGATCTGGTTTAGACCTGGTTCAGTCCTGGTTCAGTCCGGCATTGCAGTTTAAGTCATGGAAACAGGAAACGTCCGTTATCCGTTTTTTCATTTATTCATTTAAACACAAAATTGAAAACTGAAAAAATGAATCGTTATGCGTTTTTTATTTTTATTTTTTTTCCCTTTTGGTTTTAGAAATAAATAATAAAGAAAATTGTTTTTTTTTTCTTTTTCTTATTTTTGGTTTTATTTTGAAAAATGAATGAAGGAATGATACACGGATTGTGGTCCCTTTGGTGTTTGTATTAACTCACTTTACGTGATTCTGGGGTTTTTATTTCACTATTTTCTGCCTAAATCAAGATGTGAACATTAATAACAGACAAATCAGGCAGATTTTTTTTTTGTTAGCAACAGGTTTGATTGACAGTACCAACGGTGTGGGCAGGAACAGCCTCTCTCTGGACTGACTGTGGTTACTATGATAACTGCCAGCCACAAATCATTTGACTGGAATTGAACACTATGGGCGACTTCACACTCACTTAAACCACTTCTTTATACTGTCTATGATTTATCTTCTATAATTTATATTTTATTGTCAAACATTCTGACTATATATATTTCAGGAAGCTTGTTTTTATAAAGGTGGTCACTTACAACATTGATAACACATATCAGATCAGGGGTGAACAGTTATTTTTATTATATTTATGAATATTGTTAAGGGCCCGGCCAAAATACTTAACTCAATCCTGCATAATATGAATTTATTTATTTTTAAAAAGCATAAATATCATTGTTCTGATTAGGGATGGGCATTCGATTAAATTTTCTTAATCGATCGTCGGGAGAATTAACGGATCGAATATCAATTAATCATTAATGTTTTTTATATTAAAATGTATAATAACTATTATATCTGCACTACTGTTCTGCATAAATAAATTCAACTTTACCACATATAAACATAACCACTCTAGAGCCACATCAGCCCGTTTGAGCTTATAATGTGTTTAATGCGGCTTTGCGCAAACTCTCACAGAAACGAAACTTAAACCGCATGGCTAATTTGCATAAACTAAGCAAAGGTAAAAAAACAGCTCTTGTGCGCTGATGCGGTTCAACTTCTGTCGGATTAAAGGACATGACTCAGTGGAATACAGGTTAGTGTGATCATATTTGCGTTTGTCAAAACCAGGACACCGTACGGGGGGTGGGAGGTGGGGCCTCGTCATCGACATTGAGCTACTCTCACCTGGCAAAACCTTTTCATGTTTTTGGTGTCCTGGTGAACTTTTTCCCACTGGACACCGAAACATATGTTCCTGCTTTATACACTGTGCACATGGCCTCCCACTTGTCCCGACCGGAACAGAAAGTGTGGAATTTCTTGTACAAGTCATCGTTAAATACGCATTTACGCTTCAGCATGTTGCAAACTGCCTGTTTGTGTCTCACTCCTTCTGAGTGCAGAGAGCTACATGTACGGACCCCTGTTTGGTCACCTCACATTACGCACAGCGACCTACATTCGGTTTGTCGATTAAAATGAACGTAATGGATGAAATTCTTAATGATCACTTATCGATTAATCGACTAATCATGCCCATCCCTAGTTCTGATGCGCTGCTCAGACTGGTAAGAGTTTATGTTGTGACTAAGCAATGAAAAAGTGAGGTTGCTGAACAAAAAAAACATCTCTGAAATAAAAGCAATGCAGCTTTAGTCCATGCATGAGGTCAAAAGATAAAATATGTTTGTTTTGTAATTCCAAATGAGCTTAAACAGGCCAGTCACAGTCGCCCGGGAGCTGGACAATGCCCAGGTCTGCATTACACTGATAAATACCTAATTATCTACCATTTTACTATATATATTTATACCATATATACATATAGGTATAGATAGATTCACTAGCAAGGGCCATGCCACAACAATGGAATGTGATAAAGATTTCCAGTCCAAAATGATCATCCAGCTGATTCGGAACCCCCCTCTCCTTAAAGATGATGTCTTCGGGCTGAAGGATGGATGAGAGACACGAGGCTGAGAGAGCTGACACAGACGGTGTTGCTCGGATCGGCTGTATAAATAGGCTTGTGGGTAATTGAAGGTGTGGTTGAGATAAGCTGTGGTTGAGGCTTGGTCCAGCTCCTGAATCTCAATTAATCACATTAAAGGTTGTACAGAGGATTTTTTAAGGGAAGAGAAGTACAGCGACAGTCCATGTGCATGCGTGACACCACCTTCCTCCTCCACAGCTCCCTCAGTAGAAACGCCTCCTCCCGCCTCCTTACTCTAGAAATCACACTTGTTGACAGCCAGTGCGTATTCAGAATTACTGTTGAAGTGACCTGTCTAGAAGTAATTTAGCAACTGATGCATCAGTTTTTAGACCCTTTGTCTGTTTCACTCGTGCAATTGCTGGAAGAAATCTCCAAGAATCACCTCAGTTTGGCTTTGCTCCTTTTCCCCTTCTCTTCTTCTTTCAGCGACCTCATAAACGGACTTTCTTTTGCGGCAAACTGGTCGTGGATTCTCGTCCGCCATCGCAACAAACTTTGTGCGAAATGCGAGGAAGCTGCAGTTTGAGCTTCTAAGCTTCTAAGAACCGCTGCATAAACCACGTAAACCCTGCACGCTGGCGAGTCAGTTACACTAGGGAATTTGATTGACAACCTAACAGCCAATAGAAAATGAGGGAGCCTAACTATCTATTGGCTGATGTTTATCTGGCCTCACTATGTCCACAGTTGATAGATTTTCATTCTTTTTATTTTTTTGGTCATCATAATTACAAGGCTGCTGCATGTCTGTAATTGTATTTTAAACTTTCATTGACAATTTGAAACAAAACAAAAAAAAAATCATACAACCTTTAACTCCACTTATACTGTATACTCAATAGTCTTGTGGAAATTCGGGATGTATGGATTTAGCTTTTTTAGATACTCTGACTTACGTATCTGCTATTACCCGATATAAACCGATACCAGAGCAGGGACAGAAAATGACATTTACTTCCTTAAAACACTTAGTTCACTTATTGCACAAGACTTCCAATTGTGTTATGTAACTGTTATTTATCCTTCACATCCCTAGTGAAGAGCTTCAGAGTTCAAAACCTTATGAGATGGACAAAATCAGCCTGTGAATAGTTTTATTACATCCAACTAAAGGCCCAACCAGCATATCAAATGAAGCGATATCATGTAACCAATACCCGATCCAACATATTTTACAGTATCGGTGCTGATCGGTGCATCTTTTGTCTAAACAAAATCTACTAAAATACATAAATATACCAGTGTTACACATTTCCATAGTGTTTTGGACATCATAAAACAAGAAGGAGCACGTTGGACTTATTAAACAGATCTAATAAAAGTGCTGGCAATTCGGCATCACAGCAAGTTCTGCCTAATACAGCTCTCCGGGCACCTCCAGAACTAAACCAGGTCTTTAAATGTGCTATTGTAGGTCTATTCTAGGCCTAAAGCAGGTCTAAAATAACACAACAACATTAGCACAGCTGTTGTGACCAAGCAGTACCCAAAGAAGGGAAAAACCGTGGAAAAAATAGACTCTTTATCAGTTGAGCACGAGAACAGAAGAGATGTTCTCATACCACCAAATGCAATTCCCACAGATT